TGAGTACAAGCCAGTATAGTATATAAATCAACAAGTAGTTTCTTACGAAAAAAAAATATCTAAATATCTTGGCATGACACTTGATGCTAAACTCAGGTGGAAATCGTATGTGAAGAAAAAATGTGAAGAACACAAATTAAAGTACAGGAAAATGTACTGGTTATTTGGGCGACATTCAACTCTGTCAATATATGTATGATAAGCTTTTGGGGTATTCAACTCTAGTTGTACCAAACAAAAGCAACCGAAATATTATCCAAATATTCCAAAACAAGGTACTAAACTACGAGGTATGATGTCGACAACGTCATCAGGAAATATGCCTTGAGACATGAAGAGAGGCTCCATCAGCACATCAACATCGACGCCCACCAGCTCCTGGATAGTGATGGCTTTAGTGAAAAGTGTTACTATACAGCTCGGTGCATTCTAAAATAGTGATAAACAGCACTGACAGAACCAAAATTACTATCATCGGATTAGTGTTTTGTATTTTAATAGCTTATTAGTGTAATTTTACTAGATTGCTATACTAAATTGCACAAGGGTGATTAAAAAAAATAATTCAATTTCCCATACAGCACGTCCAAATGAAATTACGTTTCTACAAGGGAGACACATGAGAAACAAAACACGTTAAAGTGAACCTAAGTGTTCATCTAGATCTAACATATACATATGAGATACACGCAGGTTTATATTGATAGAATTATGTGATACAGTGTTTACTAGTTGTATACCGTATACACTCAAGATTCTAAAGAGTTTTTTGTAACGTAACAAATAATTATTAAAATGATGAAATCTGACGTCGGTATATGAGACATACAATGTATAAATCATATGTATGTGTGATACTTCGTATCATAGTTGTGCCTATAGTACACACCTTGTAAAAATGTGACGTATACACATAATATAAATATCTATATAGACACTTTGTAATAGTGTACTGTTGTGTCTACATTCTAGCATGAAATGAAGGTGTGCGCACGCGCGGATAGCCTCAGCGTAGATACACCGACCAAGTGTATCTTATGTGTCCTCTCTCCTTTCTCCTTTCTACGAGTGGTATGTTTTAGCAGCCATTATTGTTTTATCATTCGGAAGCTCTATATAAATGTTCTGTTTATGTGTAGTTTAAAAGAGATTTTAAGGTAAGTAAAAGTTTTTAATTACCTTGTTACACCTTTCTAAGTGTATTATTAATATTATAGCAGCGACTCTTCCGTTACTCGATACCCAATTTACCAAATTTTGACTCCAGTGAATGAAAACTCCAAATATTCGCGTATAATGATAAAAAGGTGAGCTCTGCAATATAATTTTTTTTTAATTTGGAAATAATAAAAATCTTAAATGGACCAGAGAAAGAAAGATTTAAACACTTCAAAGAATACACTGATTGATATTCGGTAAGTTATGGATGGATCAACATACAGATATGTTTAATATTCAATATTCAGTTTCATATAAAATTTAAGGGTGAGATTGTTAATCTGGAAATAAAATACAACAAAGTCCAACAGAGTGCTCGATGAATGAGCATGCTAACAAACCAACTGTTTGGAGGGAAAAGAGGAGAAAACAAAACAAACCAAACTAAACGAGGTCCACCAAATCGTGGCGATATACCAGTGTTTACCATTTTAGTATGTTGTTATACTAGGTACTTATATTTTTAATACATTTTGACACAAATTCTGTTCTTTTACAGTGTTTTCTTACTTCTGGTTTCTGCAGTGTAAATAATTATTATTATTGTGTTATTTGCGCTATTGCGTTCCATGATATAAAGAAATATAAGAATTTTATTGTTTAATCACTTAATCCATTTTATGGAAGAAAAATGACAACACTGCCAACAAAACAAAAATGGAACAATTTTAAGGCTACTTCTCTTGAACTTACGATCGAGATACTTTTGGAAAATACAAAGTTTTGCCTGCCTAATTTTCGTTCTAAAAAGATATAATTGGTATCATTGAATAAATATTTCTTAAAGAGAGCGAAAAGTTAGGCATCAAAACTTGTATTATTTCCTAAATTCGTTCATAAGAAGTAGTTTTATCTAGCACAAGATGTATATACGAAGCAAAATACATACGTATACACGCGGTAGTCACAACTGCAATGTGTAAACAGAGTTTAAACGTAATACACAAGCACTGTTTATCCTACGGCACACTGTGTATCCCTTACTTTGTGTATACGTAAATGCTATACTGTGGCTACATTGTGAGGCGGACGTTTAACCCTTGTGCATACTTGTTGAACTACAATGTGTAAACGTAGCACATTTACATCGGGGGAATTGTGTCACCCTGTGTCTACATCTAATAATGTAAACACATCGTAAATGTGATTTGATGTGCTGTATGGGTTCTGGACAAAATGGCGAATGAAACAAAAACTTCAGTTTCCATTTTTTTATTAAGTAATTCATTCTAGTCGGTAGACACACTGATAATAACAACATTTAGAAATTTCTCTAACATCGCAAGAAAATATAAGTTTTACTAATAATTCCGAAGAATTTAAAGAAGTTAAATTTAAGACATTTAAAATATATTTTTATATTTCCACATTTATAACAATAAATTCTTCTACCAACAAATTATTTAGGTAGGTTTGACCTTAAATTTCATTTAAAATTTCTTTAAAAAAGTTTAAAATAACGGAACCTTTCAGGCCATTCTAAAATATTATAACATAATTAATCTATTTAAAAATGATAAAAATACATCACAGAAAGGTAGGTTAGGTCTGGCTTGTGTAATACAGAGCAAGTCATATCACATTTTTTTATATTTTTTTGAGATATCTTTTGTAGGATATATTATTATAGGATGTACAGGGTGTTCCTTAATGACATGCTAATATTTAAGGAGGTTATTGGACTTATTCTAAAAAAAAATCATATGAATATATGTCCTAAACATCTTAACTTTTCAGATACAGGGTGGTAAAATTTTCATTTTTTTTTCAAAATATTTCTGATGTTATATTTGATACACGTCTTCCATGCATCAAAATGCTTATTTTGGTGATGAAACTGAAGTAAACTGACTTTAATTTTTTTTAAGCAAAAACTATGCATCGGACGAAAAAAATCAGGAGATAAAAAATGTTTAGAAACAAATGGAGATTTTGAAAATAATTTCTATTTTAAAATAACTCAGTGGTGTACAACTTTTTCTCTAAAAATGTTCAATGTAAAACCCGTATGGACGACACTGGTTGAAACAAATAAAATTCTTTGTACACCAAAAAAGGTATTTTGATCCATATAAGACATGTATCAAGTTTCACAAAGATGACAATAAAAAAAAAGAATTATGAAAAAAAAATTTAGAAAGTAGAGAGAATCTAGAAATTAGAAAGTTTAGGACACACATTCATATGAAGATTTTCTCTTAGAATAGGTCCAAGAATCACCCCCTTAAATATTAGCATGTCATTAAGGAACACCCTGTATAAAACGACATACAATTTGTGATGTATAATATGGTAGGTATATGATAAAATTTATAATAAAATATATCAGCGTTTACCTTAAGTATAATACAAAGTATTTTTTCATTGTGTACTTAAAATATATACAGGGTGTTTCAAAACAAATGCGAAAAACTTCAGGGGGTGATTCCTTGTTCAAAATAAAGGGTAGTTTGCTTGATAAACGTTGGGTCAAAAGTCAACCATTAGGGAGATATCGCGGTACAAAGATGGCGGAAAAATAATGTTTTTATTTTTTATCGTGAAAACGAAAAGAGTAATAAATTTATATATTATTAGAAATATTGTTTAGAAACTTTTTTATCTCTTGTATTTTTTTGATAAAACTCACCGATTTGAAATTAAAAAATAAAATGTAAAGCATTACATGTCAGGACAAAAAACATTTTCTGATAAAGAATCTAGTGGGCTGCTGTAATTTTTTTAGGAAAAAATCTAGTCGGCCGCTGTTACTTTTTAGGATGTTCCTAATATTATTTTATTTGACATTACTCTACTGCAATACGTTATTATCTAGATGATTATTATTATCGTTATTATCACTAGATTCTTAATCTAAAAATGTTTTTGTCCTGACATGTAATGCTTTACATTTTATTTTTAATTTCAAATCGGTGAGTTTTGTCAAAAATATACAAGAGATAAAAAAGTTTCTAAACAAACTAAACTATCCAAATTATTTTTTTTGCATGTTTTTGATAAGATTTTTCTTTAAATTTCGTTAACAAGAATGATAGGGGTAGTTTATTTCAACCCCTTCCACTCATTTTAAAAAGTAAAAAATTACCTGAAAGTGTGTTTTCATAACAGTAATGCTTCCATAAAATTTCATTAGTCTATCTCTTTTCGTTTTCAAGATAAAAAATAAAAACATTATTTTTCCGCCATCTTTGTACCGCGATATCTCCCTAATGGTTGACTTTTGACCCAACGTTTATAAAACAAACTACCCTTTATTTTGAACAAGGAATCACCCCCTGAAGTTTTTCGCATTTGTTTTGAAACACCCTGTATATACTTAAAATAAAAATAAATTAAATAAGTAATAAAATAACATTGCAGGGGGTGTTATAAGGAATTTTATCGAATTACAAAAATTAAGAAGTATACTATATAGATATTTAAATTGAGAAAAATAGAAGATACAATCTACATTCGAAAAAAATATCCTTAACTTAAATTTCCTCAAAAATAATTTAAAAAAAATTTAATATTGCAGCTATCATAAAATTTTGAAATATAATAAATAAATATGTTTTCACTTGAGTAAATTAATACATAAATATTATAATAAACAAAGCATTATATTTTTGATATAAATTAAATTTATGAACTGAAATAAATCAATCATTTTATTAAGTTAATAATAATTTTATTCTTAATAGTGTAGTTAAATAAAAAAAAAGTTTATATAGCAATATAATATCTCTATAAGGTATATTTTTTAAAAGTATGTCGTTTTTGATATCATCTTCACATATTTCGATTGGCTCTGTATTACTAACACAATATTAAAAACATGTTGATCTCAGTCATTGATCAGCGATAAAACATTTCAAGGGCTAAAATATATCATGGCACACTAGAATTGCATTAAGAAGCTTATTAAACATCTAAGTAATTGATACATACAGGGTACAAAACATTGAACATTTAACATGAAATAGAATAATATAGAATTCTTATATTTCTTATATAAAATGTGTAATATAAATTTTATAGTATCAATCTAGTTTACTTTATGATCCAAAAGTTGTATAATAATCGAATAAAAGTTTTTTTCTGTCATTAGTAAAAATTAATGAAATAAAGTTCCCTGTAATGGCCGGTTGAATGTGGGCTGTCAAAAAGCGACAAATAGTACTAACTTTTTAACTAAAATGTCACAGAATCTTATTTGAGGTAGTCAGTCAATATAAAAAAAATGTCACTGAATATTTAATAGTTATTGGTATAAGTAAATAAATTATCTAGAGATTTATGTGTGTCTCTCATACACTTAGATTATCTTCCATTATGAAGATGAAATAAGTGTAGAAAAATTCAAAGATATTCAGATATTGTCATGTGGTTCAAAAATCCATCTAAAGATGGATTTTTGTTGATTATAAATAAGAAGACGGATTTTTATTATTTTTAAAAAAAAATATTACTAGAAATTATAACCAAACTATTTTTTGGTATCTTCTGTATATAAAAAAATCAGCATATCGCAAATATCTGCCAAAATATGCAATTTACAAATTTTTTCTTGGAATAAAAAACGAAGCTGATACTAATAGATAATTAATAGATACTGATAGATAATTACCTACAAAAATGGTTCTTATCATTTTTTACACAGAATTGGTAGTTTTTGAGATATTCCGCCTCGAAGATCCCTGAATTTCCTCTTCCAGTTTTAACATTCTGAAGATAGATGTCATTAGCGTCTCATTGATTGATAGGAAAAATTTTATTTTTTGATGATTCAAACTTCATTTAAAAGGTGGAATCAACAGAAATCACATTTTGGAACTTGTTTGAATTTTGTCATCTTTTATGGTAATAAAAAAAACGGGCAAATATTCCTTCGCTTAAAAATTTCCAGACTTTTACAAATTTATTCATATTCACTAATAATAGCTTAACTATTTTTTAACAGTTGTTCTTAGAGTCTCTTTAAGCAACTCAAAAAGTTTTAGATGTTTAGAAGAAACTATTTGTGAGTGGCTTTTCCGCTTTTTTGGGATTTCCGGAAAGTGTCGTAAACAAAAGAAAATTTCTTAATTACGAATAGTCGAATTTGTTTCGTTTTTGTTTCGTTCTTTTTTGTCGAAAAAGTGCCAGGATCATTTTTTTTAGTTAAGGATCCAATCTTCCATTTGGCGATCAATAGAAATATCTACATGCAGTATTTTTGGCCAATATTGGCGGAAACCCCGTTCTTTGATCCTTTAGGGCTGTTTTTAACCGTTTTCTTGGGACTTTACGAAAAAAAGTGTCAGAATATTTTTTGTAGTTAATGACCTAGGCTCAATGACCTAAGGAGAATTCAGTCTAATATTATAAAAGTTATCGAAGAGTTGGATACCGAGAATTACACATATGTAAGAGCGGCCTATGTAACTAAGCAGAAAAATATGTATGTTTCGTAATGGAAGAAATCATAAATGAAGTAAAACAAGCTGGTAGAGGATATCGACTGGGAGATAAAGAAATAAAAATAATATGTTATGCTGACGATGCAGTACTCATATCTGAAGATGAAGATATCTTACAAAAGCTTCTGTATAAGTTCCAACAAACGGGAAAACTATTTAACATGCAAATATCTGTGAAAAAAACGAAATCCCTTACAATATCTAGAGAGCCTAGATGATGCAAATTCGCAATCTATGCTCAGAGTGTAGAACAAGTGATGTCATTTAAATATCTAGGGACAAATATAACAAGCACTAGGAATTTCAAAGAGGAAGTAAAAACCCAAACAACAAAGGCGTCATTAATATCAGGATATTTAAGGGATATTATTTGGCGAAATATATAAGCGTCAGAAGCAAAGTTAAAATTTATAAGGCTCGCGTGAGATCGGTTATAACATAATATGCGATAGAGACTATAGCAGAGAACACAACAACAAAACGGCTCCTAAGAACAACAGAAATGCGAACACTTAGATCAATTACAGGATATACCTTATATGACCAGAAAAGAAGTGAGGATATAAGAGAAACATGTGAAGTACAGGATGTAGTAAGATGGGCAAAAACCAGAAGAGAGTGGAGAGACCATGTGGACAGGATGCCAAACCACCGGTTCGCGAAAATTACTAAGGAGAAAAGACCCAACACGCCTCGACCGCCGGGACGACCATCTATAAGATGGTATGAAAGCTGGTCTTCATCATCCCAACTGTTCTTAGGGAACCATTGAAGAAAACACAGGACTTAATGTACGAACACAGAAGAAGAAATTACGAAAAAGGAGAAAGAAGAAGAAGACCTAGGCTTCATTTTTTATTCAATTTTTTTTGTGAAATGATATTTGCGAAAAACTGATTTTTATACTTCCATAAAGGCATGTATAATTAAAAATTGGTTAGTTTGAATACATTAAAATATAGCTGGGAATAGCTGGGTTCTTCGATTATACAACTTTTTTATCATACACATTAAGAAGGTATTATTACTTAAAACTGTAGAAGTTAAAAAGGTGACAAGACGATGTTTGGCTTATTTATAATATTATTGTTTTACCCTGTATAAAGTCGTTTTTATTTGCTTTCTTTTTGGTGCCGATTCGTAACAAAAAAACAAAGCTAAAGCGCTCTTTTTTTACATTTACTGAATATTTCAGCAAATGCTATTTTTTCAAGATTCTTTTTTAGCTTTCCAAATTTCATTTCATTTTGCATTCGCATTAAGTTGATTACATTCCGTTTATCAATCGAACACAGCAACCAAACAGCTCAGCATATTTATGATGCAAGTTTCCATCCTGTGTTTCTTGCATTGCTTGAGTTCGTTGGTTCTCTTCTTGGACATCTTGAAGGGCAGCTCTTTAGGGATTTTTTTCTTTTTTTCTCTCTGTTTGATGTACTCCAGGATGTCGTTTATTTCCCTTTCGTTTAGTATCCCCATTCTATCTGGTCCTTTGTGACCGTCGATGGTACGGCTGAGGAATTCCTTTTCTGACATTAGTCCGTATCTGGAAATAGAAATTCATTTATTGATCATAATTGTGCGTGATAATTAGTTATTTATGTATCAAGGGAATTATAACGGTGTTTATAAGCGAGGGCAAAGTTTTTGTCAAGAGGGCCTATGGCCCGAGGAACAATAATTGCCCGAGGTTATTAAAACTTTACAATTCCCATGGTACATAGATAATTTGATTTTTTACTGAATTTGTTACACGTAAAAAACTATTTGTTGCATTACAATAGCATAATAAGACACTGTTTTGCCACTTTTTGTGATCTCAGTAGGGCATTCGACTAGGGTTGTTTTTGCAAAGTAAAAAAGGACATTGGACTATGAAAAATGAGCGGGGGGAGAGGGGAGGGGGTAAGCTGTTAATTGTGAACCGCCAATTATAAATTGCTATTTTTAAAGTGTGAAAAGCTCTTTTTAAGATCAAAATGGTTAAAAATATATCCTAAATTATCATTTGAGACGGGGGGTTCTAAATAATGTTGCCGATTCTAAACAATAGTGTATGATAAAAAAAACGGCGTCAGCGATGGCTATGAAATGAAGATAGCTGTCATTTTATTTGCGGAATTATATGGAGAATGTCATCGAAGTTCATTTTCAAGCCAACTGGACACCGATTTTTTTCGTATCGAGAAATTATGGTTACACTCGTTGAATTTGACTCTTTATGTCAGTTTCATAATATATTTTCGTACTTTTGCTTAGGCGTGTGTAAAATGACCTGCTATCTTGCAATCACGTCGCAAAAGTTTATACTTTTTTGACGTTTAAAAAAACATTTATTTATAAGTTTTATATGTCTAATTAAATTTTGGCGAATGGAATATTGCTTGTTGCTATAGATAATTTCTCAGGGAAAATAGGTACGTAAATAAAAAGGACTTTTTAGGACTAAAAAAGTAAAATGGACAATTTGTTCCAAAAAAGGACTGTCCTTTTTAAAAAAGGACAGGTTGCAACCCTACATTCGACTGTATTGGTCTAAATAAATTCTTATTGATAATTGCATAATATGGCTTTTGCGGTAACTTGTTTAGATGGACCAAATATTTTTAATCGAAAGACAACAATATGTTTCTCTTCAAAATATTGACTCTATAAATAACGTTAGAAACTTTGTATCGAATTTTATTGGTACATATTTCCATTGGCGTCTCCCAGGGTTCAGTTCTGGGTCCAATATTTTTTATTTTATATGCTATAAATCAATTTAATAATATACATATATGATGCCAGCGTTTTTACGGCTTTTGTCGACGATGTGTCATCTTTAATATCAGACAAGTCCGAAGTATACTTAGAGCAGAATAGTAATAATTTAATTAAATTAATTGACTGTGTGATATTTTTCCAACTATTCACTTTATTTAAACCCCACCAAAACAACGCTTATACGTTATCATCATGAACAGAGGTTAGTTGGATGTCAAATTAGATAATAAAAAAAATCTTTCAGTGAGACTACTAAATTCCTTGGACTTCACATTGACTCCGGCTTTAACTGGGAAGCACTTTGTGCTCAACTCATACCTAAAATAGACTGCTAAAGTTATGTCTTAAGATAATTAAAATCAGTTCTAACATCAGATCAATTAAACCAAGTTTATTTTGCAAATGTCGATGCAAGACTGATATACGGTGTTTGTTTTTGGGGTTGGTTAACGCTCTCTCGGGATGTCTTCATTGCTCAGAAGAGGTGTATACGGTACAGTAGTTGAAAACACGATTTTAACAAGTTTAATATTTTAACCCTTCCATCTTTGTTCATATATGAAGTGTGTCTATATCGAGGTCTATACGTTTTTCTCAACTATGATAAATTAAAGAGAAATTGTAATGTACATAGTTTTAGCTTTGGTTTTAGTACTAGAAGCGCCTTAGATTTGCACATAAGCATTTGTAAATCTAAAGTGACTTATCGATCACCACACAATATATAGGACCTTATATATTTAATAATCTTCCTATTAAAATTAAATCCTGTAATACATTCAATAGATTTAAGTTAAATATAAATAATTATTTGTTAGAAATGAGCTTTTATAGTGTGGAGGAATACCTGCAAATTATAATATGAGACCATATGATAATTTTATTATGATCTGTTGTGTTTGTTTTTGTATATTTTGTATTATATATTTGTGTTAGCTTTAAGAATTCACTATTCCTATACAATTATTTTACATGGTTTTATGGAAATAAATAAATTATTGATTGATCGATTAACTACTTTGATTTTTAAATGACACCCTAGGTATTTTTTACTTTATCTGATAGAAAATGATATTCTGAGTAGAATAACATATCATATATCAACTTTTGTCATTTTCACATATGATTGATTAAAAATTAGTGTTTTTAACACAGCCATGACACTAATAGATGCATGTTTGTTTGGATTAAAATTTAAAATGCGATTTTTTAAGCGAACATTTCAAAAGTTGACATATGATATGTTATTCTACTAGGATTCTATTCAGAGTGTCATTTTCTATCGAATAAAGTAAAAAATACCTAGGATGTCATTTAAAAATCATAGTAAAGTGGTAAATAGTGTCTTATTATGCTGCTGTAACGCCAGAAGTCCCACAACCTCAACTGCATCTCCAGTCTTAGTAAAAGAACAGTACATTGTAGTACTCTACAAAGTGTTTTTTTTTATTTATTAAGGCATGGTATAAATTCTTACCTGGTTGTATAAATCAGATCTTTGAGAATCGAGTTAGGATTAGCGGTGTCCTTATCTAGCGCTCTCCTTTCGCATTCCTGTTCGTACCAACGCATGATAGCGCTGTAGATGATCGACTCGCTGGACACTATGAGACTGTCCCGCGACGTCATGTCAAGTAAATCGTTGTAATGTAAATTTTCGATTTCCTTCTTTTTCAGTATCATATCACCATTGAGATCAATTACATGCAGGCAGTTTTCACGAAGTCTACGTAGTGGTTCCACCATCTGTAAAAAATATTGTGTTATTTAGTTTTTCCCATTCAATGAATGTGGCTTTATAGATGGAAGGTAATTTTAGATAATAATTGTTTATAGATCACACAAAATAAACTTTTAGTCACGTCATATTTTCTTCTTCTTCTTCCTAATACGAGTATAGAGTAGGTAGTACACCTCTACATAATTTCTTCTTCTTCTTCCTACTCTATACTCGCATTAGGTAAATTGCCTGTTCATTCTTCACAGCACGCCTACAGTTTTAATCGATGGTCAGGTTATCGCTCCATCTTTTTGTTGGCCTTCTCGTGCTTCTTCTTCCCAGTGGTGATTTGTCTCGAGCTGTCTTTACTGTTCTTCCTTCCACCATTTGGTTGATGTGGTCGTTCCATTCGCGCTTTCGGCTTAATACCCATTCATTAATGTTCTCCACCTTGCTGCATGTTCGCCTTATATTCTCGCTTCGTTCTAGTCTAGATCTAGTAGCGTTCTACATACATATATACAGCCGTTACTCGCTGAAGAGTATTCGACACAAATAAAAAAGATGGTCACGCAAGGCGTTTTCTTTCATGAGCTTTTCTGTGACTGAAAAGCCCATGAAAGATAGCATCTTCCTAGATACGTGATGGTATCTGCCTACCGCACTCCGGACATTCAAAAATCTCATTGCTTTGTTGCCTTTTTACTTTTTGGTTGTCGCTATTAACTGAGTTTACAACTCTTCTTCATTGAGTTCTATTGTGAGCTGCTTTTTCCCACTCATTCTGCATGTTAATCCCCTTTAAGTTTTCGTGGAAAATGTCCTTATACCTTTCCAGTTGTCCACCCGGCCTCCTCTTACCGTCTACAAGCTCACTGTAAAGCAGAGATTTTGGTATGCGGTTTTCTTGCATTCTGCATACGTGACTAGCCCATCTTAAGCGGGATTTTGTAACCATGACTTCAATACTCTCACAGTTAGCTTTTTCAAGGACCGATACGTTTGAGACATGATGGAACCACTGGATTCTTAAGAGTTGTCTATGGTATCTCGGTTGCAACTTGTTTAATGCGTTCATGTGTCGGCGGTACGGCACCCAGGTTTCACTCCCATATAACATGGTGGGGATTATAATTGCTCGGTACACTGCAAGTTTTGTTTTTGTACTCAAGTCATGATTGTAGAAAATCCTGTCTTTTAATTTCCAGAATGTTCTTGAGGCGCTACTAATCCTGTGCTGAATTTCAGAGTCAATATTGGCCTTTTCCGAAATCAAACTACCAAGGTAATTGAATTCCGCCACATATTCCAATAGTTCTTCTCCGATTTTTATAGCATTGTTGTGATCTTCCGGGGGAGTGCACATCATTTTAGTTTTGTCGATATTTAGCTTAAGGCCCAAAGCCTCGTATGCCCAGGTATATGTGTGCAACATTTCTTGTAATTGTTGTACCGTGTTTGCAACTAGAGCGCAGCGTATTGAAGTTCTGTGATGAATTTTGTACGTGTTTTTGCCCTGAGTCTTTTTATGTTGAACAGACCGCCGTCGTATCTATATCTAATACCCAATCCTCTCTCCTGCAGTTTGCTGTACCACTAAAATGGAGAGCGCTGCCATGAATATGGTGAATAGGAGCGGCGCTAAGACACATCCCTGCCTAACTCCTGTATTTGTTAGGAATGGGTCGCTCAGTGATCCATGATGTGACACTCTTGACTTGTTGTTATGGAGGCTTTTACACAACTGTAAGAAATTTGTTGGGTACTCCGAACTTTTTCATAATTGCCCAAAGCGCATCTCTGTTCACAGAGTCGAAGGCTTTTGTTAGATCGATGAATGCAACATAAAGTTTAGACTGCTGCTCTTTTACTTTTTCCTGTAGTTGACGGATGGAAAATATGGAATCGACGGTGCCGCGGTTGGTACGAAAACCCGTTTGCGATTCTGGAAGGATTTTTTCTATATATGGGTGCAGGCGGTATGACATTATTTTTGCAAGAATTTTTCCACCGATAGACATTAGTGAAATTCCCCGGTAAATTCCGCAGTCTGATGCACTTCCTTTGTTCTTTATTCACGATCAAATACTTTCTGCAGATTTATGAAACACATGTAAGCTGGCCTGTTGTACTCAATCGATTTCTCTGCAATCTGCCTTATAACAAAGACCGCATCAGTACATGATCTACCCGTTCTCAATCCTTGTTGCTCATCTGATAGAATGCTGTTTAACTTGTTATTATTTTTGTTGTTAGTTTTAATGTTGTCCTGAGTAGGTTTATGCCCCTGTAGTTTTCTGGCATTTCTTTACCCCCCTCCCCCTTCTTAAACATAAGGATAGTGGTGCTTGTTGGCCATTCTTCAGGTATTCTTTAATAAATAAATATATTTCTAATTAGTTAGTTGCTGGATTAGATCATTCGGGATGTTGTCTTGTCCAGGATTTTTTCTGTTTTTTAATTGTCGGAGCGCCATATCTATGTCTTTGCTTCCTATTTGTATGTTTTCGTTAGTGATTATCTCTGGTGTATCAGTCTGCTCGATTGCATCATCCTCTTTGCTGTAGAGCCTTGTGAGGTATCCAACCCAAGTGTCCTTTGTGATATGCTGAGGTTCAATAAGTTCATTAGTCTTTTACTTCTAATTAATTGCCAGATTTGTTTTGGGGGATCGTAAAAGTCTCCTTCCATTCTCTTTGGCAAAATTTCCCAGTGGTCGGCCTTAATTTTTCTTAATAGTGTTCTTGTCTCATTGCGAATTGCTTTATATTGTTCATATGCTTCTGGTGTCAGTGCTCGATAGTTTAGATATGCTTTCTTCTTTTCTTTGCTTTTATTTTTGATTTCTAGGGAGAACCATGGCATTTTATTGTGTTTTTTTGTCGGACTTGGTTATAGTGCAGGTACCAAATGCTTCGACTGTGGCTTCTTTGATGTTAGCCTTTAATTTATTTCAGCTGGCGTTTATATCTTCTATATCCTTTATTGGGTTTTTATCTATCTTCGTTTTCAATCTGTTTTGATATACACATATGTTACATATTTTGAACAAACTAAATGTCATTTTTGTGACTGAAAAGTCACTAATGACATTAATACGCTTGGAAGGATAAGGACTTACCCAGTTATCTTTTCGTTCCTCGTCGTTTTCCACCAGCGGCGGCGCGGACGGTTCAAAATTCACAGGCTGATTCTCGGACCAGTGCACCCATTTGCCTATTTTCAATACCACCTCTAGGGCGTTGTCCTTATTAATTTGCTTGTTCAGTTCTTCCATGTGGTTCTTGGCGAAGGGGACGTTTCGGTTCTTTAAGGCGGTCTCCATCAGTTCGAGGTTGACTAGAGGGTTGGTCGTTTTGACTGGATCGGCCATCATGATTCTGTAATCCAATAGTTAAAGATTATATTATGATAAAAATATAAAAAAGCGGATAATTACGAGTACGACTCGCCCGCCCAGGTTTCCGTACAAATTTGTAGGTACAGAGTGGGGTCAAATTGGACGCTTTTAAAAAGAAACGGCATAGTGATCTTTTCTATAGGAGATTTGACGAAAACTAATATAGGTGTCTGGAACTATTTTTTTTCAAAAACATGATGGTGAAAACTCAACTTTTTTTTATGATAACTGAAGTTATCAGCAAATTTTTGCAGCCAATTCCGAAAATAATTGAATAGCTAACCAAGATCTCAGCCGTTGGCCATTGAGGCGGCCGGACTTAGCGTCTATGAATTTTTTTATCTTTGCGGAAGAATAAAGATTTTTATTTTTAAATTGCCGGTATAATCTAAACAAGAATTAGAAGTACTTGGCTGTTATGCGAAGGTATTTTTCACCCCCACTGAGTTAATGAATTCAGCGAGGAATGTTCGAAAGAAGATTGTCGACATGTCGAACACCTGTAGTAAAATTTCATGTCTTGGTTTGCTATTTATTTTTTTTTGTTATTAGATATAGTTTAAACGTGTTGATATTGTTAAATATAGTTTAAATTGTTATAAAATTCTGCATCTCTCACTGCAAATATTACTTTGGTTTTAATTGCTGCTCACAGCTAGAATTATATTGCATTACAGCCGATGCCGTTCAAAGCTTACTTATTCAAAGTGGGCAAATTTTTAAAAACTCTATATCTCGAAGAGGAATCGAGTAAAATATCAAGTATGCTATATTTTTGGAAAGGTAATTTTAAATTCTCTTCAATAAATTAAAAATATACAGGGTATCTCATATAAAAAATCAAATTTTCGGTTGATAATTGTTAAATAATTAATATTAAAAAAACTTTTTTTAGAATATCTACCAAACCCTTCAATTCTAAGAAACCAATTATTTATCATAATTAATTATTTCGGATAGACGAGTGATGGAGCCCTCCCATGGCCTATTTTCCGTTTCTTAAATTTTCATCAGGACTCGTAGAAAACGACTTAAAGTTAAAATTTTGCTAATATCGAAAAACGTAAATATCTCGGAAACGGGAAGTAGGGAGAAGACCAGTGAAGCCTCTATGGATAGAGCTAGTGGAGCCCTATAATCGCCTTATTTAAAAGTGTTTCGAATATGTCCAAAAATTTTCCCGACCGAAATCGAGCTTTTTTCACTTATGCCGATTTGAAAGATTTTTGGTCGTGGATCGATGCAGATCATTTAATTAAGTCAAAAAGGTACATACAGGGTGAGAAAAATAAATAAAAATGGATTTTTTCACTTTCGGCAATTTTTTTAAAATACGACATAATCCAAAAAGGGGGTCAAATTGCATTTATAATTCTTACATTTACGTCTTCTAACCGTACCAGATGAGGCAAGTTAAAACAGTTAATAAATAAAAAAAATGATTTTTTTCGAAGGGGTATATTCAGAAAATCGAAATCTTTCAAATTAAATATCTCGGAAAATGTGCGGAACCCTAAAAAGGTTCCTGCAGTGAGTGAGCATACAAATTATGCAAATATTTCGAAAATTATATTGTTTATAATTATGAATCATAGATTATGATTCAATTTTAACGTACCTGTTATTTTCGATTATAGGTTTTATAAGTCTAATAAAAATCTTATCAAGAATTTTTATGAATTACTAATAATGGAAGGGATATATTTGTTTATAAATATTGAATTGGTGTACTATATTTAGTTTCTGATAAAAATGGAGTCTGTGACATCATTATTATTATTTATTTATAGAGAGAGTCCCACCGAGAACTATTCTTTTGTTCTGTAAAATATAAGCACAGGTATTTAACCATAGACTTAAAATAAAATATAGACTGAGCATCTCATTCATAAATAGCTGGAACATGCGGTCAGACACTGTCTTGTTATTGTTGTGTTATTGTTTTAGGTTATAACGAGTGCGACACGAGCGATAGATAGGTTGTCTCTGTCGTAACGGTCGTTCCCTGACGACTCTGCCGAGAAACACAACACTGTCTTTCGTTTCTCAAGTACACCTGAACTCTCCGTATCATAGCCGGGTAATTTTTTTATTTTAATGAAGCTATAATTAAATTAAAAATATATCGTATTTAAACTTTTTTATATTTTATTGAGATTTAGGACAGGTTTTTTAAATAAAAGTTTAGAAAAAACGTCTTAGAGTCCAAAAAGGATAAAAATAATAAAATACACGTTATAGAAGAAATTTTATAGTCGAAATTACGTAATTTTTGAAATTAATTAAAAATTATTAATTTTAGTCAAACATTTACAACCCCTAATATTAATCAAAACAGGATCTATTCCACAGATATAATAGAATCGGCGACAGGGAGAGAAAAAAAATATAATTGTTGTAATTTTTTTTCTGGTTAAGTGATGTCTTATTATGTAAATTAGAGAAAACATATATCTGTTCGATTAAAGCAAGGAAGGTGATAGGAAGTGGATAAAATGAAAACTACATTTATTTAACTCGGTACTGTCTTTATTATACCGGGTGCGTCCCAAAAGTGGTCATCCCCATAATTTTTTATATTTTCAAATAAAAAACAAGATTTAGTATGTTAGTACATGACATAAATTAGGATTGATTGACGCATGCAATTGTTTTTGGTTACTTCCTGTTTCACCGGAAATGACTATAACTTTTAATTTTTAAACGGCACCCTTGGTATATTTCTACTTTATTCGATAGAAAATGACACTCTGAATAGAATGACACATCATATGTCAACTTTTGACATTCTCGCATATGGTTTAATTGTAATTGTAACACGCGGTTCATAACGACAATTTGACTCGAAATACCAAATGTGTGGTATCAATATATTCATAAAAAAATGCTTTTTCCAAATATGCTAATGAGTCACCCTTGTTCCATTTGAAAAAATTGACATATGTATGATTAAAAATACGATTTGTACATCTTTTAACCGGACAAGACACGAAACCCATTAGACGATCAAAACTATTTTTCCAAGGCTCCTTCATTAAAACTTAGTGTTTTTAACAACACCATGGCACACTGGATTGAATTTTAAAATAGGATTTGTTTTTAAGCGACAATGTCAAAAGTTGACATACGATATGTCATTCTATTCAGAGTATCATTTTTTATCGAATAAAGTAGCAATATACCGAGGGTGCCTTTAAAAATAAAGATGTAATCATTTCGGTGAAACAGGAAGAGACCAAAAACAATTGAATACGTCAATAAATCCTAATTTATGTCATATACCTACTAACATACAAATCTGTTCTTTTTTATCTGAAAAAATTAAAAAGTTATAGGGTGAGCCACTTTTGAGACGACCCGGTATATTAAAAAATATTGTTTCATAATGTAATATCATTTTAAAATTCTTGTATGTTATTTTAGATTCTGAAGATAATTTTAGAATAAACCGGAATATATTTTTAATAAAAACATTATTAATTATTAACAGGGTTATAATTATGATTTTGTTACAATGTAAGTAAGTAAATAATGTAATGTAAGAGAAAAAATTCAGATTTTACATTTTACTAAAATATTATCTAAATAAGCGCCTTTCTACAACAACGCCACTGACTCCCAATGGGTAAATTGAGAGTTGCCTACCGGTCAAAAGTCGTTTCAAGACTTAAATGGATTATTTAAGTCAAATTTCTTGCAAATTTGGCACTGGCGAACCATATTTTATAGTTCTTGAACAGAAAAAGTCAATAAAATAAACACTTAAGCACTACAAGCTAAGAAAATGCGTTAATACAGCCGGGGAGATAGCGGCAACAAAGCTTTACCGCACACGTGCGACACGTACTACAAGGTAATAAATGAATGAATAGGCTCCCTCGCCTCTAATCGGTGTTGTCATATTGTAAAGAACTTATCCTTTTTAAACAGTATCCGACTTATAATTTAGTAGTATAAGGACTATTTAATACATCTCGGAATATTAAAACCTACTTTATTAAACTGTAGTATTAATATCTCAATATATGTGTATAACAAGAAAAAAAATATTGATAATATTAAAGACGTGACAACATAGGCTGGATGAGGAAGGCTCGGTCGACTGTACCCAGAAGTAAACATGTGTACAAAAAATATTGTCTGTCCGCGTTGAGATGTAAATAGTGTAGTCTATATTTTATTTTAAGTCTATGTATTTAACAAAATGAGTGAATGATAAAGAAAAATAAAAACACAAGTTATAAAGACATTTCTAAAGATGGCATTTTGACCAGCATCAAATAGAGCAACTTTGTCTCCATACTATAGCCGCCCATACACGCAAGGTATTTTTAAAAGATTTGTTCCGCCGCGGTCTTTACCTCTCATGAATATCTGTCCATTAGTGGACTACCGGCGGAAAAACACCGGATATGTGGCATTTTGGATTATTGTGAGTTCTAATCCGATGAAAGATCAGATATGCGCGTTTGTCAATACAAAAATATCTGTACTCTAACTACCGGGTCGGCGGATACGGACATATCTGGACTGCGGGACCGATCGCTTAAAAATCCCTTGCGTGCATGGGCGGTTTATACAGGGTGTTTCAAAAAACATGTGTCATCTCTCGTGAGGAGATTCCTCACGTAAAAATAAGATTTATTTTTCATATCAACATAAATCCGATTCTGCTTTTTTTCGTAGCTACAGGGTGTTAAATTCTTAATATTTTTTCAATGTATTATAATTTTGTTCCAAGTACTTTTAGCGATTCGAATGAAATTTTGGGGGTAAAAGTTACTATAAATGCGACATATTTTAACGCTAAAAAATTGCCAACATATTCACTGGGGACGTGCATATGGGTTATCTCTGGAATATTTTTCTAAGAAAAGCATGTATATCACTAACTTTTTTTTCTCTTATTAGCCAAAAAGTGTAAGCAGTGTAATGCCAATTAAAAGTTGTCTTTTGATATTTTGTCGATTTCGGCCTCCTTGATGAGATAAACGCAATTTAATTTCCCTTGATTCAAGAGCAATAGCAACCTGTAAAAAATTTTAATATTGCTAAATAACTTGCGAAAGTACTCATTGATTTCTCATCAAAAAATATGAGAAAAAGTTTCTATAAACATTGGTATGGAATTGCATAGTTTTAAAGTTACAGGATCTTAAAAATTTTAAAATGAGATTTTTTGTAATTATCTTAAATATCATATGTTTTTTTATTTTTTGGGCTAATAGTAATAATAACTAATGGTAATAACATTTAATAACAAATTAGGTAAAATATATAATTTATTAATTTTATTTTAATTTTATTGTGATTAATAAAATTGCGTTTATCTCATAAAGGAGGCCGAATTCGACAAAATATCAAGAGATAACTTTTAGTTGGCATTAAACAGCCTATACAATTTTGATATCAAAAGAAAAAAGTCAGTGGCGCATATGTTTTTTTTTGAAACATATTCCAGTGATACACGTTCCTGATGAACTTATCGACACGTTTTTAGCATTAAAATATGAGCACTTGCACTTACAGTAACTTTTACCCCTAAAATTTCATTCGCATCACTAAAAGTACTTATAAGAAAATTATAATAAATCGAAAGATTGCTAAGACTTTAACACCCTGTAGCTACGAAAGAAAGCAGAATCGGACCTTGTTGATATGAAAAATAAATCTTATTTTAACGTGAGGAATCTCTCCACGAGAGATGGCACATGTTTTTTGAAACACCTTGTTTAATTTCGGAGATTCTAACGATGATGCTCGAATTTGGATGCATAACCTGATATTTAAGTAAATAAAAATCATAAAAAAATTACCATACCGTGATAATTCTTTGTAAGCATCTTCTACCACAGAATGACTTTCTGGTTCAGGATCTACCGAAGTACTACCCAACATAGGCTCGTCTTCTTTGAGATTGTTGCTTGAGCTTGAGATTTTTTGAACCATGATTGCGTTGATTTGGTTTGACCTGCAAAATAATTAAACAATATTAAAGCAAATCGATAAATTAGGATATACAGTAATATAATATTCCAGTATCCCAGATTATAATATCGATAATATGATAAATTTCGGTTAACTGCAGAGGTAAACCTATGGGTAAACTATGTATTTGGAAATACAGGAAATATGTTTACTTGTAGAAGATGTTTCAAACATGTGTCAGTGGGTGAGAGTAATTTTTTAACCGGAACATCCTATGTATTATTGCCTTGTGGGTTTATTCTTGATCGGTTTAGTTAACTCTAAGATTAAGTATTTTTCAACCAACAACCAAAAACAAAATATAGGTGTTTACTAAAGATGGTGCTATATAGGTGTTTACTAAAGATGGTCTGTACATATTTTATTATAAATGTCGAAATAGAAAATTTTACAGGGTGCTCAAATTTTAATGTCAAAATTGTTAAGATACAAAGAAATTTTATTAGTTCGGTTTCGCTTTATTTCTTTCGTTATAGTTGGGAGTTGGAACTTTTGGTGATACAAGAGCACAATAAAACACTAATTCATCATAATACACCAAAACACTTTTAACACTAGACGCGCGTGTCGCTAACTGGCTTGTTAGAAGGAAATTAATAACCAGGGTGGTTCCACTAACAAAAACAAGAAAAATTGCACAATTTTGACAATAAGTAATATTTGTAATAAAGTAAGTAAAATCTAGCATAGTTTTAATATCAGGATATTTTTTGTAGATAAGTTTAGATCAGTTAGCTACTGTATGATCGAAAAAAAAACAGTGTGTGGAATGACTATAATTTTCGATTATAATTTTAACGAGGTCAAGCTCTAGACGTCGTTTACTAAAAATTGACATAAAACTTCAAAATAACACTAATTATGGAAAGATTAAAAAACGCTAGAATGTTTCCAGACACGTAAATCTATTTCCATTTTTTTTTTCTTGAATTTTAAACTACACCATTTAAAAATATGTTTAATTAATATAAAATAAAGTACAACCTTCTTATGGCCAACTGGGAGTAAGTACGATTAAAAAATAAAGAAGGGTAAGAGGCAAGCATAGGGCAAAGTAATAATGTCTAGTGCTTGACCTCGCCAAAATTATCATCGTTTGTTATTCCCCAGCTGTCTCTGATGCCGTTTTTTTTCCATCGTATGGTATTAGAAATTAGTTTGTAGTGTGGTACCTTGTAGAATATACAGGGTGTCCCAGAAATAAGTGCAAGTATTTTAACTGGTAATATAGTTCAACCCCAGAAACACGCCTAAAAGTTTTTTTTCGCGAACATTTTTTTTGAAAATTCGAAAATTTTTGGAAATTTTTTTGGAATTTTTTTTTTTAGTTTATATTTAAAAAACATAATTTGTTGATAACATGGCAACATAGGTATTAGATTAAATTTACAAGAAAGAAAATCCAGAAAAGATCCAGTGGTTCTCAAAATTTTAGCAAAAAAATTTTTGGAAATTTTCAAAGTAAAATAACTCCGTTATATTGGACTTATTTGAAAAACGATAAAGAGAAAATATGTTTCTTTTATCGAGATCTACCACCCCTTGAAATACTTGCACTTATTTCTGGGACACGCTGTATAAATAAGGCTATTAGCGTTTTAGGTTTTTATAGTTTTTGCCATATTGCACGATGCACAAAATAAACAATCAAAAAACCTTGGTTTTCTCAGAATCTAACTATAACACTTCGGAAAATGACTACTTGATTTTCAAAATATGTTGTAAGATACATCTCAGTGTGATATTATTACTAATACATTGACTAATACCAAAATTTGGGAAATAAACAAATAATATATCCGTCCTAGGTAAGAAAAAATGCACTGGGTTAAAATGTAATTTCGTAATCTACTTGAAAATTATTTTAATCAACTATTGTTTGTTTATTTTTCTTAGAAAATATGATTTACCTTTGTTCTTGTTATTAAACTGTGTAAATATAATAGTTCGCAAAATTAAAACTAAATTCTAGTATTTTGGACAGTATTTTCTTTGATTTTAAATAACGTATTGTTTATGATGCATTTCTTATCAATTAGTAAGAATTCTATAAACAATCTAAAATTATTCGATATTATCATTTGATTTCCAAGAAATAATTAAATTTTACATTTATACTACTATATTAATACTATTAATAGAAATTAAATTTAGTTAATATTAAATCAAAATTAGATATTTTTTTAATTAACGTCGAAAAGTAATTAAATATTTGTTAAAATATTTCAACAACTACATTAAAAAGTTATGGACAACATTTGTAGATTTTCTTGACATCTTGGTGAAGGAAATAGTAACAATCAAAACATGAAAGAATTTATTATTTCATAGTTTAATATATATTTAACATAGACTTTTAATGTTATACAGGGTGAGTCTTAAACCAGAGCAAATATTTTCAGGGCTGGTAGATCTCGATAAAAGAAACATATTTTCTCTTTACCATTTTTCAAATAAGTCCAAAATATCCGAGTTATTTAAGTTTGAAAATTTAAAAAAAAAATGATTTTTTTTGGAAAAATTTTGAGAGTCAGCGGATTTTTTCTGTATTTGCATCCCTTTTAGTGCCGTAACCATAGTAAAGTAGAGTAAAGCTGTAACTATGGTAATTTGTTCTTCTAGTATTTACTACATTTTCTACCTCTCGTAAAAAAAAACCACATCGCATAATTTTTGAGAAAAAACAATTTAGAGAATTTATTTTTTCAAAGAAGACGTAGAAAATATACAGGGAGTTCCAATATTCCGTGAACATAGAACAACTACGTAATTTTTGAATCAAAATAAGTTAATTGCACATAATAATTGACCTTTATACAAAAGCGCTTGGTTTGTCCGTTAGAGGGCCATCAATCAAAAATATCTCCGAACGTTAATTAATTTAAATTTTATAAATTTTTTAAGCTTTTTATGAAGCACATTGTAAATTATAATTTGTGATACTAACATATAATTCCATATTTTCGCTAAGTAGATTATTAGAGCATAGGTAATAGATTTTATGCGCCTCCTTCAAGTGACAAAAAACATTTTTTGGAAGTCAGCTTCGAAAAAAATAATTTTTTCCTCAAAAAGTATGAGCGGTAGCGTTTTTTTAAGAGAGAAAAAATGTAGTAAATACTAGAAGGACCATTTTACGAAAAAAAAATCGGTCGCCGATTGAGTTGGAAAATATTTATTCTAAAATTTATGTAGGGGTGGGGGTAGTTTTTAAGAAAGAAAGATCCTGTAGCAGCGGAGTAATTTGTATTGTCACTACGAGGTTTTGGATCGCAAGCGACAATTTTTATTTGGGAAGGCAAGGCTAGAACCGGAGGAACTCTGCTCCTATCCTATCAAGGACCTGCATAAGTTGGTGCAGGGTACAGGGATAGAGGAGCGTAGGTGCAGACATTGAAAGGAGCCAAACACAGTAGGCCTTACAGGTTGTAGTGTTTCCGGCACAGGATGGCCTTTCTTATTATTGAAAAAAAGTTAATGGCTGCGAAAAGATTTTATAAATGGAAATAAAAAAATTACCTCCTTATATAAGAAAGTACAGTTGATGATGGATGCTAAGAGAAATGCTAAGAACGCCACATTGAAAATTTAATAAGATTAACTTGTAGAACAGGAAAAATAGAAATAGATATGTCATTACTTTTCAAATAGAGTAAAAAAAACTAAAACGAAATTAGGTAAGATCGATTATTTCCAATGAAGGGCTCAACTTTTTTCGAACTTAATCATTATGGTATTTCTTTCTGATTTAAGAGATCCATGTATAATCTGCATTCTAAAATAGGAATGGGACACAGTTCTGTTCTCTCAATTTTTTAATAAATGAAATGGGTCTTCAGCTTAACAAGAATTAAAATGTTCTAACAAAATAACCCATTGTTGTTTTGTTGATACAATTTGTCAAAAAGCATAAAAGAAAAAGAAAATATGAGTTTACTAGCATGTACCAACGACTTCGTTCGCGTCGAATTAATCATTTGTAATAGTGATGATAAAGCAAAGCAAGAATTTCCATTAACATACAAACTGGATAAAATTTTCTCACATTTATGTCAGCATGAGAAAAAACAATATGGCGATATTATTATATAATTTGGTAATATTTGAGGGGTAGTTTCATCTCGTTAGAATTTGACTTTCGAAAAATCCTTTTGCCAAAAATAAGCTTTTTACGTGAAGCAGTTTAAGCAGAATCGTGGTTAAGAAATTACCCAACTTTTTAGAACATCTTGTATGGTTTTTTTGAAAAAATTCAAAATATGTAAAAAAAACAAATAAATTATGCTTGTCCAAGCGTTTTCCCGAAAGACTAACCGTTTTTTAAATAACAAATATTTTAATATTTGAGGGGCGTTTTCACCCTCTTGGAATTTGAGATTCGAGAAACCCCTCCTTATCGAACCTCTACACCCCACAGTCAATCCGTTTGCCAAAAATCAGCTTTAAACGTCAAGCAGTTTAAGCAGAATCGTGATTACTCAATGGTCATATTTTATGAAACACCCTGTATAAATTTATTGTTTAAGCGTTTTTTCGGATACTTGACCGTTTTTTAAATAAAAAAAATTGTAATATTTGAGGGGTGGTTTCACCCTCTTGGAACTGGAATTTCGAAAAATCCCTTCTTATCGAACCTCTACACCCCAGAATCAACCTGTATGCCAAAATTGAGCTTCTTACGTTGAGTGGTTTGAGCAGGATCGTGATTAATCAGTATGTCAGTCACTTAAGGATTTTATATATTAGTATAGATAACAAGTAACCACAACACTACAACATAAAAAAAACTATATACAAATAAGCTAAAATTCGTAAAATAAATGGCAAATAATAATTATTATTTTTACACACACCACTGGCACTAGCAGTAGATTGTGTTTGTCGCCGAATATATGCTCCGGCCTGTCCACAATTCAATCCCAGCATCTTTTATCTTCATCCCTTCAACACTAACCGAGCCGATTTCGCCTATCTCTTTCTTAC